ATTCATCTTGTTCAGCTGTTAAATCATCTTTGAGCAATTGAATATTATCGATTTTAGCAAGTGGATCAATCAAATCAGCATATTCCGTAAATAATAATGACATTGATGGTGAAGCACGAATATAAACTAAAACAAATATAATTAATTACTAGTAAAATTCTTGTGATACGACTTACGATTATCTTTTTCTTTGGAAACAATCTTTTGTAGTGAACGATATGAACGAATTTTATTAATAGCATCATAAATAGTTTCAACACTTTTTTCAATTTTTTCATTACGATATTGATTAAACTACAAAAAACAAACAAACAAATAAATAAATTATTCTACAAATAAAATAAATAAAAACTATCTTTACTTGACTCGATTGTGGATATGGTGTAACACAAAGACTAGGTGGTGAATTTAAACCTTTATTTGGTTTTGGTAAACGTTGATAAAGTTCTTCAGAAACAAATGGCATAATAGGTGCCATTAATCTTAAACCATTATCTAAACATGTATGTAATATTAATTTAATAGTTGTTTGTCGTTTTAAATCTGGTTCTTTAGCATATAAATCTTTTTTAACATATTCAATATAAACATCACATAATTCATAAAGCCAAAAATTATAAATAGCTGTTGTAACTTGAGGAAATGTATAAGTATTAAAACCAATTTCACATTGTTCAATAGCATAACTTAATCGACTTAAGATCCATAAGTCACATGGTTTTTCAATTCCGGTTAACTAGAAACAAAAAAAATTTAATTTATTGAGAGAATTTAAAATTTTGTTTGTTTGTTTTTCTCGGGTACTTTAAATTGTGCTGGTGGTTCAAAACAATTTGGATCATTAATATTTAAATTTTTCGACATTGCAAATTGAATAGCATTCCAAAGTTTATTACAAAAACGTCGATAACCTTCAACACGTAAGACATCTAAATTGATATCTCGACCTAAATAAAAAGATAAAATATATATATCGAAAAGAAAAAAAAGATTTTAAAATTTACCTTGATTAGCATAAGCACAAAAAGCAAAACGTAATGCATCAGTACCACATTCTGGAATACCATCTCGATAATCATCTTTTTGACCTTGTCGTGCTCGTTCATATTCTTTTGCATCAAGATTTGAAGCTTTTAATTGTTCTTGAAGTTTTTCAAGTGATATACCATGAATAACATCAAGTGGATCAATAACATTACCTAAGGATTTCGACATTTTACGTCCATGTGCATCACGAATAATAGCATGTAAATAAATTTCAGTAAATGGTAAACGATCAGTTAATTCTAATGACATCATAACCATACGTGCAACCCAAAAGAAAAGTATATCATGACCAGTTTCAAGTAATGTTGTTGGAAAAAATCGTTTTAAATCATCAGTTTCCATTGGCCAACCAAACGATGAAAATGGAAAAAGACCCGATGAAAACCATGTATCAAGGACGTCTTCATCTAATATAATAATAATAAAGAAATAGATAAAAATAAAGATTTTTATATTGAAACATAACTATATAAATTTTAAATTTGACCGGGACAATTTCTTTTTTTCTCATAGACTCACGAGGAAGCATTCTCAACTGTCACATCGCTTTTAAGTCGAGCATATGCGCATTATGTAGATCCTAATGATCTATGAATTCTCTGAAAAAAGTTCGTGCCGCTAGCTTATTATTGCTGAGATACTGCCTTTTTACTGTATGTTTAAGAAAAGAGAGCTGTGGTCCCCCTCAGAAATACTTGGAAAACTGAATTTTGAATTTCAATTTCAACTTTGCATAGATATAGGACTCAATGAGAATACTTTATTGTGAAAGTTTCAGCTATTTTCGTTGCACCTATCCTAAGATACAATTATCATAAAAATTCTCATATACCCCAGCGGATCCGATGTTCTTATCCCAGACTAGAAGCAACCCAAAAATCTGAAACATTCACAATAAACTGTTCTCATTGAGGCCTATATACATGCAAAGTTCCAGGCTGAAACTCAAAACTCACTTTTCCTGAGGGGGGGGGGACCACGGCTTTTTCCGAAACATATAGTAAAAATGCTATATCTCAGGAGTAAGAAGCCAGTAGTACGAACTTTTTTGGAAGGATTCATAGATCATTAGGACCTACATAATCCCCATACGGTCGACTCAAAAGCGATGTGACACTTGGGAATGTTTCCTCGTTCTCAACAATTTCTCTTTTCAATGTATTTCTCTAAATTTCGAGAATTCTAATGGAATAGGAAAATGTTTTTTGTTTTTTTTTTTGATTAGAGAAATTTCTTAAAATTACCTTGTTCTAATCGAATTTTTTCTTTTGAAACATTAAATCTTTGAGCTGCTTTTTCAAGTGCTTCATCATATGAATGAGCACTAACCCAATATTGATCATCAATGTTATTTCCTGGTGGTATATCATCTGATTTAATAAAATATGATGGTATTCGATGACCCCACCATAATTGTCGTGATATACACCAATCACGTATATCTTCTAACCATCTATACCAAACAGGTTCAAACATAGTTGGTAAAATTTTTAATTCTTTTGATCGTACAGCATCAATTGAACGTTGTGCCATTGTTTTACAATTAACATACCATTGTGGTTTAAGTAATGGTTCAATAATATCTTTACTTCGACTACATATTGGTATAATCATTTCATTTTCTTTTGTATCACGATAAAGACCACGTTCTTTTAAATCATGTAAAAGTTGACGTCGAACATGAAAACGTGGTTTACCAGCATATGGACCACATTCAGATGACATTAAACCATCATCATCAATACATGTTATAAATTCTAATGAAAGACGACGTCCACATTCAAAATCATTTGGATCATGTGCTGGTGTAACTTTAACAGCACCAGAACCAAATGATGGATCAACCATTGTATCAGTTAAAATTGGTAAACGACGTGGAAGAAATGGATGTTGAACATATTTACCATGTAAATGTTTATAACGTTCATCATCAGGATGAACAACAACAGCTGTATCACCAAGCATTGTTTCAAGACGAGTTGTTGCAACAACAATTTCTTCTTCTATAAAAACAATCAAAAAAAAAAGAATCAATTTTCAAATAGTTTTATATACAAAAAAAAAACATACTTGAATTTTCAACAGGATAAGCAAAATAAGTTAAAACACCAAATTCAACTGGTTCATCATAACCAGCAACACGTAATAATGTTCGACCTTTTAATTCAGTTTTTTCAACCTAAAAAAAATTATTAACATTTTTTTTTTTATAAAAAAATACTAATATTTTAATATTGTTTTACCTCAATATCAGAAATAGCCGATTTAAGCGTACATGACCAATTAACTAATCGTGTTGAACGATAAATGATTTTCTTTTCATGCATTCGAATAAATGCTTCTTCGACAGCATATGACATATCTTTATCCATAGTAAATACTTTACGTGACCAATCGCATGATGAACCTAATGCTTTTATTTGCTCGTAAATATGATCACCTGTTTACAGCAAAAAAAAACAAGACTTATTAAGATCAATAGATTATACAAAACTCATACTAGCAGCGATGCCATAACGGTCTCAGTCCTTCTTGAGAATTTCTCTAACGCTAAAACTATGTGGACTTATATTAAGATTTGATACAACTATCAAAATTCCTTATGTCTGTTTTTTTTTCTAGACAATCTCAAGTTTTTAGTTGAATATTTGAAATTTTTATATCTCGAATATCTTTTCCTTTTTTTTTCGTACTCCGTCACGTTGCAAAACAAAAAAAAACAGTGATCAAACCTTTATCATTTTTCCATTTCCAAACTTCATCTAAAAATCTTTCTCTTCCTAAATCATGTCTTGTTAAATGTTGTTCACGCATAAGTTTTTTTTCAACAACAACTTGTGTTGCTATACCAGCATGATCACATCCAGGAACCCAAAGAACAGAATCACCACACATACGATGCCATCGTGAAAGTGTATCTTCAATTGTACACATAATAGCATGACCTAAATGAAGATAACCAGTAACATTTGGTGGTGGAATAACCATAGTAAATGATTTTCGTGGTATTGAAGCATTTGATGGTGGATGTTGATCATAATATTCAGGACGAAAAAAACCTTCTTTTTCCCACCATGTATACCAAGCAGCTTCAACATATTTTGGACTATAAGCTTTAGGTAATTCACAATGAATATCTAAAATATTTAGAGAGATAATTTTTTTTTATAAATTATTTATGTGATTTATAGTCAATGAACCTTTTTTCTCGCCAGGATTTGTTGATGATGTATATTCAGTTACTTCACGAGTCACAGTTTTTTTCTTTCCACCATTTTCAGCTGATTCTTTATCTTTTTTCTAAAAGATTTACAAGAAAAAAAAAAAAAGTTTTTCGTTTTGACATATACAATTCAGATAAATAAAACCTGTTGTTCAGCTATTGCTTTGGCTCTTTGTTTTTCTTCAAATTTTCTTAATTTTTCTGCGTCTTTTGCTTCTTTTGCTAATTGTTTTGCTGTTTTTGGGGGACCATCATCAGCAATAGCTTGTTGATTATTTTCATCGTTTGGTTGATTAGAACCACTTGTTGCCATCTTAAAAAAAAAAGAATAAAAATATTGATATGAAAAAATAATTACATTGATTAGTTTATAAATAAGAAACAATCAATCATTGCATCATCTTCCTGATCATGTTTCTGCATCAGAAAGTGATGAAAGAAAGAAGAAAAAAATGCTCAGCCTTAAATAATGACTCATGAAATTGTTTTTATTGGTTTTTACTTTCAATATATATCTTATTATAAATTTAGATTTATTGATTTTTGAATTTTAATTATGAAAAATTTTCAATTTTCTCTTTTCATTTTTAATATAATATATATTAATGTAATTTAATATTGGTTGATTATTAAACCAATAAAAATTGCTTAGTTACGTGAGACGCTGTAGTTAAGAAGAAAAATTGAGTTATGCTTTTTTTGCATTTTATTCTTTAAAAACATATAAATCATGGTACGAAAAGTTAAATCTTAATCTATTAATATTATTTATGAAATCTTATTTTTTATTAGCCTCGTCCATCAACTGCATCAAGTAAAGGTGGAAAAGATGAATCAGTTCGAGTTGTTGTTCGATGTCGTCCGATGAGCGATAAAGAAACAGACAGTGGTTGTGAAAGGTTTTCTTTTAATTTTAAACTTTACATAAGTTTATTCTTCTCTAATATTATATTAGAGTTGTTGATATGGATACTCAACGTCGACAAGTATCAATTCAACGTCCAAGAAGTGAAAATACTCAACGAATGACGAGTAGTGGAGATGATGTGCATAATTTTTATTTCGATGCTGTTTATGATTGGCAGTACGTCAAGATTTCGTTGATGAATATTAGAATCATGCTAATTATTTAAGCGTTTCTATATACTTTAGTATTGGTTGCATTAGAATATCATAAAAATCAAATTACTATGAGATATAATCATTGAAAAGTTTTCTAATGAATTATAATACTACATCGTAGTTAGTTTTTTCATGAAACAGGATTTAAAACTAGTGTTGAAATGTACTCATTTTGCTGTTCATTGATATATCTACTGGTATAGCGCACATTATACCAAGCGATCTTTACATAGGTAGAGATAGAAATTTAGATTCATTCTCTTTCTACTCCAACTGTAGACATCTAGGTTGACATTATGTGAAAATTATTGTTTCGTATGTTAGCATTAGTCGAAAAACTCCTCTAGTAAGAATTCGAAGTCTGAACAAAAAAAAAACTATCAGGAGATCTTCCTAACAAAATTGTATTTAATTTACAAGTTTGTTTTTTTTACTCTATGAATTCTTAAAACAATCATTCTTCTTTAATATCAAGTGCTTTTACTGAGACATGTGTTCAGTATAATAAATATGCATAATTTCTCATAATTGCTATTAGGACAAAATTTCTAGAGAATGTTATTTCATCCATAATATTGATATAACGATAGTGCGAATTAGTATGAGTGTTTCAGAGCTGATTAGATAATCCTATAATTCATTAGTTTTCTTATAAAACCACTTTTTCATGCGGAGATATAGGATAATGAACTTATACAATGTTTTTTTTTCAGATTAGATTGAAATTAGAAAAGTAATATTAATTCGCCTGACCTATGAGAAAATTCCTACTCTATGAATTACTTCCTTATTGGATTTCTAGAGGATTAAGTAAAAGAATGTTAAAAAAATATATCTAAAAGTCAATAGAATAAAACAATCTTTATGTGATTCGCAACAATAACTACATCATTTTTTTTACGTTTTTAATCCTACAATAATTATGTTAATAGTTTTATATTTATAATCAAATAAAAATTTAGTTCGAAACAAAAAGATGTTTATGAACAAACTGCACGAGCACTTGTTGATTCTGTACTAGAAGGTTTTAATGGAACTATATTTGCTTACGGTCAAACGGGAACAGGAAAAACATTTACCATGGAAGGTAAAAAAAAAAAAAAGGAACAATCGCAATTTTATTCATGTAAAATAAATCAAAATTATTTTTAATAGGTGTTCGTTCACAACCAGAATTACGTGGTATTATTCCATCATCATTTGCACATATATTTGATTCCATAGCTCATAGTACATCAAGACAATTTCTTGTTCGAGCTTCTTATTTAGAAATATATAATGTAAATAAATTATTTGAAGATTTTTTCTTTTTGTATGAGAAAATTCGTTGTTGTTCTGTTTTTTATTTTCGTTCTAGGAAAGTATTCGTGATCTTCTTTCACGAGATCAAAATAAACGTTTACAATTACAAGAACATCCAAAAGAAGGTGTACATGTACATGATCTTAGTTCATTTATTACAAAAAATTCACCCGAAATAGAACATGTTATGACAACAGGAAATTTAAATCGTTCAACAGGGTAAAATTTTATTTATTTATTTTTTTTTTTTGAAATGAAATATATATTATGATTTCAATTAGAGCAACAAATATGAATGAACATAGTTCACGTTCACATGCTATTTTTGTTATTACTGTTGAAAGTAGTGAAGTAATAAAAATTCATTATAGAGAAAATAAACAAAAATAAAATTTATGTTAATTAGATTGGTGTTGATGGAAAAGCACATATTCGTGTTGGAAAATTAAATCTTGTTGATTTAGCTGGTAGTGAACGTCAAGCAAAAACAGGATCAACTGTAAGATTTTAATTTATTAAATAAAATATATGTTTTTTTTTTTTTTATTGAAATAAAATCTAGGGTGATCGTTTTAAAGAAGCAACAAATATTAATTTATCACTTTCTGTACTTGGTAATGTTATTTCTGCTCTTGTTGATGGTAATTCACATATTCCTTATCGTGATTCAAAATTAACTCGATTATTACAAAGTAAAAATTTTTACAAAAGAATTAAATGATTTTAAAAGTACATAAATTGATTTATAGATTCACTTGGTGGTAATTCAAAAACAATTATGATTGCTACACTTGGACCAGCTGATTATAATTATGAAGAATCACTTACAACACTTCGGTAATAAAATTTATTCATATGATTTGAATAATCTTTTTATACTTCATTCAACAGTATCACATATCCAAAATTTTGGAGTTGCATCCACATCTAGCGCGGGAGATGCGGCATTTACTGCGAAAGATGTGGGCGCATCTCCAAAATTTTGGATATGTGACACTACTCTTCTAAGTATTTTACTTTGACCAATAGTAAATGTCTTATTGGCGAAAACCCAGTCGCCTTTATTTTCTGAATGTATCAATCAGTTCAAATCTGATTGATTAGAAGTAATTGATTCAGATGCTTGTTTTTTTTTAAGTCTCTTTTAATTATTTTCAAAATTTTTCTAATTCTATTTATTCTTAGTTATGCTAATCGAGCTAAAAATATAAAGAATCAACCACGTATAAATGAAGATCCAAAAGATGCATTATTACGAAAATTTCAAGAAGAAATTGCACGATTAAAAGAACAACTTGAAGGTAAAGGTAAAGGTGATCGAAAATCACGTCGACATAGAAATCGTGATGGTATTGAAATCGATGATGATACCGGTGATCAAGATGATGAAGAATTATTTCTTAAAGAACAACAAGATAAATTAAATGACGAAAAACGTACAATTATGCATAAAAAAAATATTAATGGTTTGTTTAAAAAAAAATATTTTTTCAACTTCTTTTTTTTTATTTTCGTATAGAAAATGAACGTGAAGCAATGCTTAAACAACTTGAAGATCAAAAAAAAGAAATTGAACGTGAACAAGAAGAACGTCGTAAAATGCAACATAAAATTCAAGAAATGGAATCAAAATTAATTACTGGTGGTAAAGATATAATAACACATACAAGTGAACAAGAACAAGCTATACGACAAAAACGGTTATATTAATTTTATTTATTTAATTAAATAAATAATCTAAAATTAATTTAGACGTTTAATTGCTGAAGCTGAACGTCGTAATCGTGAAGTTCAACAACAATTAGAACAACATGAAGAAGAACGACGAACAATACATGAAACTTATACAAGTATTAAAGAAGAAGTTGAAGATAAACGTTCTAAACGTGATAAATTATCGAAATCATTAAAAAAACTTGAAGCAAAAAAACAAGATATTATTGAAAAACATCGATCAGCACGTGAAGAACTTGAAGCTGAACAACGTGAAATTCAAAAACAAGCTAAATTATTTCAACTTATTATTGAAAATTTTATACCTATTGATGAACGTGAACGTCTATTAAAACGTGTACAATTTGATGAAGGACAAAATTGTTGGACACTTAAAGAATTATCAAAACAAACGTAATATAAATAATATTGAATCGATTTAATATTAAAATCTTTTCTTTTTTCTTTTTCTTTAATAATATAACAGAGATCAAATGGCTGCACGACCAATATCTGCTAATGGTGATCGTTATTCAGCATCTCTATATTCTCAAGGAAATACTATTCCAGAAATAGCTCGTTTCAAAGTATTTAATATTGTTTTAAAATACAGTTAGCGATAAAAATTTAAACGAATACATTTTCTTACCTACGGCAAACATATGTAATCTTTCAAATCCTATCATATTATAATGTACGATTTGTTAATTATTTCGACAGGAGCAAATGTGAGTTAAGACAAGAAGTAACTCGATTCACATCCTTGATAGTAGAGTTATAGAAAATATCATATTCTTGCAAATGAAATGTTTTTCAGCTTTCTAACTTTTAACTATTGTTAGATATGAATGAAATACAATAAAATATGAAGAATTTCATTTTTCTATGTGTTTCATATATTCTCACTAACATATCATATAGTCAGACTCATTTTAACTTTTATCGCTAACTGTAGATCGCTGATTATTAAACTAAATAAATAATTTTAGAATGAAAATATTATTTTACTTCAACTCGATTTTCCAAGTCGAACAACTCGTGATTATGAAGGACCAATGGTTTCACCAATGATTCAAGCAGCTATTGAAAATGCTATGAAAGATGAAGAACATATTGAATTAGATGCTAAGTAATAGAAATACATTATTCTTATTTAATTGAATTCAACTGTTTTTTTTTATAGTGCTATTGTATCCGATAAGCGCAAAAAGAAAAAGTAAATTGAACATATATGTCTATAATAAACTACTTAGAGCATAACGACACTAGTCTTTCAATATCATCTGATAGTAAAAACAATATTCTATTACGTTTGATTATTTTTCAATTGACGTTATAATAATAAAATTTTGATAAGAATTGTTTATTATGATATGTGAGTATCATATCAGATTGCACCTTTTTTTTTTCTTAAGGTAGGCATGTACCAAACCCGAATTCTAGTCTAGTAATCATGAAACCTTGTTGACTTCTTTTTTTTTATATGTCTACAGATGCTCGATTTTTTGAATTATTTATTCTACTGTATGCAGATCTATCATGCATAAGCTTGATGTAGTTCCTTTTGATCAATTGATCGAACTCGTAGGTTCGCGATCAGGGCATGTTTATTTTTGATGTATATCTTCTTCACCTCTCTTTTCATGAAACATGATATCAAAGGTGTTGATGTATACAGGTAGAAATTTGGACCACTTCATAGACGTGACAGATATAATTATAAGATCAAAGTTTAGTCCTTAATTAGTACGATAGTTGTCCTTTATTGTTCTTTCACACTGACTGCACTATATATTGTGTTTTAATATCTTGCATTATTAGTAAGTAGAAATTCATAAATCGAAGTTTAATGTTTTACATTTTAATTTTGGAAGAATTGCGATAATATCTTCGTTTTTTTGTCTCGTCTAATTAGGAGTATACAAAAAGTAGTAGTAATAGAACAAAAGAGAAATACAAAAACAAAGCCATCAAGTCTTTGTTTCATTGAAGAATTCCTGAATTTATTTTCAGCACAAAACAACAACTTTAACTCGTTGACGAGATACAAAAAAAAAGAAAAGACGATATATCTCGCAGACAAAATATCATCTAAAGTTACTCTTATACCTTTTATTATTATAGTTTTAGTTGAAAAATGACAAAATATCATAGAAATGAAGAAAATTATTTTTACTATCAAACTACATACACCGAAAGTTTCTATAAGAAACTAAAATACTTTGGCTATCACTCTATTAGCATGTTCTAAATATCTTATATTTTACAGGAAATCAACTGCAAATAATGGAGGATATGATAATTATTCATCATCAGCATCACGTGCTGGTTATGGAGATATACAAACAGGTCGTGGTATGAATAGTGCTCGACGATAAATTTGTAAAAAAAAAAAAAGTACAGTGATATAAGTCATATTTTTGTGTTTTTTTTTCTCTCAAATATTGTAAAAAATTTTCATATAAAAATAAATTCAGTGTGTATTCTCTAATCAAGCTTGACTAAAGCTTTTAAAACAAATAATTTTTTTTTTTGTTAAATGACATTCAGTCAACGATGCCACATCGTGTTATTACTGAACAATATATGATTTGAGAACATCAAATATCTTTAAAAGAAATTTTGAACATATCTATTGTTTCTATTAATATTACTAAATTTTACTTCATTTCGTTTTTTTATTTCATAATTTTATTCTAATAAAGTTCACATGTCTTTTACTTATTTTTACAATGACATAAAGCATTTTATTCTCTTGAAAAATATAAACTCTTAGTAAATTCACTTGGATTTCCATGCGACCTACCGACAGAGATCTTTATTTTTGTTGTACTAGGCAATTTACTATAGAGCAAACAAAATTATGTACGATTGTTATTTGCTTTATCAAATATCAATGGTTATAATGCTTCGCCAATTACAAAATAGCAAAAAAAAACATTATTTCGCTCGAATGGACGAAAAAGATATCTATTGCAGTACGATTGTGCTGCTCTTAATACAAAAAAAATACAGGCAAAGAGGTTTGACTCATCACATATTAGTCGCACTTCATGGGATGAATAGGATATTTCTCAAATACTTTGTGTCATATGGGCTCGAATGGGACATATGTCGTCATATGGGATCGGAAGTTATTGTCGTATCCCACGCGAAATTCTGATATAAATATTTAATATTGTACGTTAGAATCGATTAATATTCTACATGTTTAAGCGGTAAGTGTCATAGGTACTTTCACTAATAAATATGCATGTTTAACTTACTAAGTCAAAAAAAAAAATGATAAAACTCTAAACATCTAAAGTCTATTATTTTTTTCTTTCATTGAAAAAATATAAATTTTTTGTTGATCTGTTTGCTTATTAAGAAACAGATAACATGATATATTTTAACTGATAAAATAAAATAAAATAAAAACTAACACGTATAATGATTCTTATTTCAATATTTACCAAAGAGTAACATCTATGTCTAGATTTTATACGCAAAAGAAAAAAAGAACACTCTAGATTTGTTAGTTAGATAGAAATATGATATACGTTCTTATCAATCATTGGATAGTTTACACGACTTTTATTTAAGAGATGTGTGCATATATATATATATATATAGATACACCTTATATTTATTTTCATTCTTTTTCTCTTAGGATAAGATAAACATTTCGGAAGACTTATACACACAAACAAAAATTCTCTACACATAAAATCTTTATTATCTAAATGAGTGTCATAATGAATAACATAATTACACATGATCATTATTCATCTATTCCGGATTTAATTGCTAAAAAACGTGATGGTTATGAACTTGATCCAGATGAAATTAAACAATTCATATGTGGACTTACAAATGGTGATGTTCAAGATTGTCATGTTGGTGCTATGCTTATGGCAATATTTATTCGAGGTATAAAATTATGAAAATTATTTTACGTATATAAAAAATTACTATTTATTTTTGTTTAAGGTATGAGTGAAAAAGAAATATGTTCAATGACAATGAGTATGCGTGATAGTGGTGAACGTTTAAAATGGCCAAAATTTCGTGGTTCAGTTGTTGATAAACATTCCACAGGTGGTATTGGTGATAAAATAAGTATACCATTAGCACCGGCACTTGCTGCATGTAATTTAAAAGTACCTATGATGGCTGGTCGTGGTTTAGGTATAACTGGTGGTACATTAGATAAACTTGAATCTATGCCAGGTTATCAAACACAATTAAATGATGAACAAATTATTCAATTAATATCAACAGTTGGTTGTGGAATATTTTCACAATCACTTAAACTTAATCCAGCTGATCGTTGTTTATATGCTATACGTGATGTAACAGCAACAGTACCACATCATGCATTGATTGTATCATCAATATTATCAAAAAAATCTATTGAAGATCTTGATGCACTTGTTCTTGATGTTAAATATGGTAAATCAGCATTTATGAAAACATCTGAACAAGCAGAAATTTTAGCACAATGGTTATATAAAGTATCAGAATTACTTGGAATGAAAACATGTTGTTATATAACTGAAATGAATAATCCTATTGGATTTTGTATGGGTAATGCAATTGAAATTGAAGAATCATTAGATCTTATGAAATATAAAACAAATCATTCCAAAGATTTAGAAGAATTAGTTTGTGAACAAGGTAAATAAATCGAAATATTAAAGAAGAAGTATTATTAACTTTATTTTTTTTGTTTTTCATTTAGGTGGTCGACTTCTATTACTTGTAAATAAAGTTCAAACAATTGAACAAGGTCGAGAAATAATTCGTGAAACATTTAAAAATGGTTCAGCTTTAAAAAAATTTCATGAAATGATTATTGGTCAAGGTGTATCAAAAATAATTGCTGATCAATTAATATCTAATGATGATACTATAGTTAATTCAATTTTAAAACTTGCTCCTATACATCATCAAGCATTAGGATCACAAACTGGTTTTATTCAATCGATTGATTCATTTAAACTTGGTACTATTGTTCAACGTCTTGGTATGTTTTAATAAATAAGAAAGAATTTAATTTTGTATTCTGTTGTTTCTTTTTTGTTTAAGGTGGTGGTCGATTGAAATCAACCGATAAAATTGATCATTCAATTGGTATTCGTCTATTAAAACATGTTGGTGATGAAATTCAAGAAAATGAACCATGGGCTATATTATATGCAAATGAAGGTGCAGCAAGTCATTATCCAAAATTTTTAGAAGATTTTCATACAGCAATTAATGTTAGTTCAACACCAGTACCATCATTACAACGTATACATAAAATATTATCATAAACAATATAGATAATTTAACAGTTTCTTTTTGCCTGTTTTTTTTTTGTCATATGAATAAGTCATGTTGAAATGTAAAATTTTACCTAAAGAGAAAAAGAAAATATTTAGATAATAAAGAATTGTCCACAGAGAATTGTACTTCCAAGTATTTCAAAACTTTTTCTATATACTTCTTGATTCAAACAGCTTTTGTTTTTTTCATCAAAAGATAGTTTTTGAAATTATGCACAAAGTAATATACTTGATTTAACGAATATCGTCTCTTCCACGTATGAAGATCAATCATAATTATCTAGTAAAATTAAGTACAAAATGTCACTTTTTTACTGACAGAACGCATTATTTCGTCTATCATTGTTTTTATATAGTCTCATTTCATAAATTATAACCCAATGCATTTAAATCAAGTAGAATCTAAGAATAATGTTTCTTCGATGACGTAGTGTATGTGAATTTTAACAACATTCTTCTGAAATACAATTTGCAACATTAGTTTACTCTTTAAAGTTCATCATTATTTGCAAGGTTTCTTTTTTTACGTTCAGTTTCATCTTTTTCCAAATATATCTCTAAAAAATTTTCGCAGAGATTGTGAAAAAATTCAAGAAGCCAAAAATTTATCTTCACCGAAAACAATGACCATAACAAACGTTTCTTTCAATAGAACCAGATATGCATATAATTGTTAAATTTCACCTAATTATTATAGTTTTTTTTTGTCAAGATAACCAATAAACACTTGAAACCTTGATCCTTTCCTTATTATGTTGCATGTTTGTTTGCCCTACTGCTGATATACTGCAGTACAATAGTGGTCAGAAGATCGCCGACCGTTAAATTATCAAACTACCGATGATTTTCATTCGTTTTGAATTACATAGATTAAGAGAAAACATATGCAAATGTTGAACGCCACTCAACTTCATATTGTGACCACAAGTAAGTCTCAATGGAAATAAGAAAAATTTTAAAATACTTTTGGTTTATAGCCTATTGATCAAGGATTATAACAATTTTAATGGTGAAATAGGCATAACTCAACGATGAAAATAGTGGAATTGTCACACTCTCCTTATAAGTTGTCAATAGGCAGCAAGTTTTCAGTGAAAACGAACTTTTTTTTCTTCTAGATAGTAATTATTGAAAATACAACAGTAGATTACTATAGAAATATCAAATCTAATTAGATATTTCATTGAAAGTTTCAGGATTAATAAATCTGTTTAGAAATAAAATTTAAAATCGAAACCATCATAATTCTTGAAAATCTTCTTAATATCATCGTGACCCATTCATATATACAGAAGATACTCGATATTGGTTAGTAAAAACAAAAAAAAATTCGACCATATCTAGATGCATAAGAACGTGTGTTTACAACTTTCTATTTTATCATTATATCCCGACGAAGATAAAACATATAGCTACTAAGACATTTATTGGTATAAATCGAGTTATGCTAGATTATTTATTTAAAACGGTTTTTTTTTTCTATTTCAAATTCAAGTAAAACAAATATTACATAAAAGTTGGGCAATAGAAAATACTTTAAATGGAGGTTTATCAATCAATACTTGTGTATTTGGATAAGTATTTGTAACATAAAATGTATCGAAACGAACTTTTGGATTATTTGAATGAACAAATTTTTTCCAACTTTCATTTGGAAATATACCATGACCAACAAAAGCTGATATATTTGAAGCACCATTTTTTAAAAGTGCTTGTGCACATTCAATAAGTGTACCACCAGATTGTACTAAATCATCAATAATTATACAATGATAATCTTTTGGATTACCTTGAAAATAAAACAAAATTATTTTTTTGATTTTAAAATTTAGTAAAAAAACAAAAAAAAAAACTCCAACAAACCTTCTTTTATAGTTGTTGTACGTTTATCATCTTCACGAATTTTACTACAAATTACAATTGGATATTTCGTTTCATCAAACATATGACCAAATCTTTTATGAGCTCCATCATCAGGAAAAGCAATAGCATATTTTTCATTTTGATTTTCACCTTTTTTTTTTAATTCATCTAATAATAATGCAACTGTTGATTCAAGTCGAACAATAATATTTGATGAAAAATAAAATTGATTTTGTAATGCATGTATATCAAATATAACAACTTCACATGGACCTGTACGTGTTAATGGTATTGATGAAAGCATTTGTGCAAGTGAATATGCTGTTGCTATTTCACCTTGAATTTGTATACGTTCCATTGTACCAGTTGGAAAATAAGGTAAAAATACTTTTAATGATCGACAAAGATATTTTGGTAAATGATAAAGTACTGAAATTTGTTCAAATATTGTTTGTGGATTATGAAATGAAGCTAAAAAAAGAACATGACTATGACGAATACGTTCAGAATTACGAATAAAAATATTTGGCCAATTATCAGGAAAAACTTTCCAATCAATATCACCTAATTCAATATGATGTTCTTTACTACATGATTGAATTTCTTCAGCTAATTTTTTCATTTCACGAGCATAAAATAATATTGTAGGAAAATCATTATATAAATCATGTTTATCTTGTTGATGTGCTATTAAATTTGCCATCGGTTGATAATCAATACATTTTTTATTATCAGTCATTATCAAAACTATATTATTTTTAAATATGATTCTCTAGCTAACAACCTGCTATAATTACAATTGGTTATTAAGACATGCAAAATAGATATTTATTGACCAAGCATTTATTTTTCTCTTTTGATGTCGCCAGTATTCATAATAAAACATATGTATATCTGATCAAGTGTTATATATTTCTTAAATTCTCAGTAGAAATTCTTGTATACATTTGTTAAGAAGTTTAAGTAAACATATAATCAAATAATCAATTCTTTACACTTCATTTCCATTATGTGTTTCTTTTTATTAAGTCGGATGACTGCACAAAGTGCAACAGTTAGAGATTCTTGCCTTTCAATCACTTAGATCTTACAACGAATTTTTCTTCTTATTCACAATTCAATTCAATCATTTGTTTCTAGTACTTGAGCATTATTTCGAATTGAAAAACAAAAAAAAACTTGTTAAGCTCATGAAATATAAATATGTACTTTTCACAAGTTAATCTTAAAGTAATATTTGATTTTTTTTTTTTTTTGTATCAAAGGTATAGAAAAAATTTTTTACACAAGTCATATCGATCAAATAACAAAGTCAATAATAATCAACAAATAGAAAAAAATCATTAATATTTATTTAACATTAATCTTGCGCCAAAAACATACGACCAAAGAGTTAATATAAGAATGTGTTTCAACAAGAAAAAAAATCTAATAGATTCAGAACTCGTACGAGCAGGATAGTCTAGTATCTGTTTTGATTTTACACTCATTGGCCTTGATTATATATGTATCGCTTGTTATTCTTTGATATAAATACATATATAGAAACAGAAAAACAATTATCGTACTATCCATATCATGTAGATCTTAATGAGTTATGAATATTTTCCAGGTAGATAGATGCAATTATTCCTATTTCACCAGAAATTTTCTGTATATGACCTTTTACGGTCTGATGCAGCACGTTAATGAACCGTAGTTTCTCTTAATATTGAGGACAGAAATGAGATGTTATATTCTGCGGTGTTTACAATCGTATATGTACGGCAAGTTCATTATGGTACAGTGGAATACGTTCTCTTTATATGTTATAAATTAACTGTGAATGACCATATCGTTCAAGCTATTAGCTCATTCATGTTTACGGTATTTTGTAACACAACATTGTGATTCTTTTCAGGAAAGTTGAGTTTCGAACTTCGATTTGAATTTTTTCATAGAGATGGACCTTAATAAGAATAGTTTCTTCCGAAATTTTTAGACCTTTAAACAATCGTTATTTTTTGAAAGTAAGAACATCGAAATCTGTCACTGTATATGAGCGATATTACTATAGCTGTAACTTAAAATAGAAAAGAATAAAAAGTTTTCAAAGTTTCACAATAACATATTCTTGTTAAAATCTATCTCTATGAAAAGTGCCAAGTCAAAATTCGACATCCAATGTTTACTTAGTATTGCTCATGGAGATCACGGGATTGTGCTACAAACTATCGTAAAAATATAGAATTTGACAGCAAAGTGAGATAATCGACTAATTTCATTATGAATTAAATTATGCATGTAGTCTAGATCCAAAAGCAACGATCAGACATTTCGAAATCTTTCTTTATCATTTTGTCATAATATATTAAAGTTCGGATCGGTTTTTAATTTTTCTTTTTGGCGACTAACTAGAATTGTGTCTAGTCAAAACTTATAATAAGATGATGAATTCGTTATACTATCGATTTTAGATTGGATTAATTCGTATTTTTTTTCTTAACTGAACTAATTTCATATGTATAAATATATATATAAATTTAATACAATTCATAAATAAAATCGATTACTTGTGCCCTCATTTTTTCCAAATATTCTGTTATTATTGATTCGTTAGTTTTTTTTATCCAATAAAATAAAAAGGCATTTATCTATCTTTCATGGCATGCATGATGAAAACAAATTAGAAGGCAAACGAAGCCCGATTATTTTATTTTTACAATTGATTACATTTGTAATAATGAGCAACGAAATAGAAACAGATTTAACTAAAACAGAGTCTCTAAATGATGAAAAAGAAGAATTAAAAGATAATATTGAACAAAGAACAGTACCGAGTATTGCTGATGTACAGTCATTTTGTGCAGAATTTCATATCAAAGTTGATAATGCAGTCGGTATACGTCCATGGTTACAATTTAGTGACACTAATTTTTCGGGTAATAAAAATTTAACATATTCATTTTTTTACAAATATCTATGTCTTTATTTCGTAGAAAAAATTTTAAAACAATTTGAAGAAGATGAATTTGATATGCCAACTCCTATTCAATCTATAGCTTGGCCTATTCTTAGTCAAAATCGAGATCTTGTAGGTATAGCAAATTCAGGAAGTGGAAAAACACTTGCCGTAAGTTGAAAAAAAGTAAAAATGAACAAAAAAAAAATATTTTTTTAATATTTTAAATTTAGTTTATTCTTCCTCTTATCTTTCATATTCGTCAACAAATAAATGATAATTCTATAGCTATTATTTTAACATCTACTCGAGAATCAGTACAATATATTTATAGTACAGCTCAATCATATTTTAATTTATTTGATATTAAATCAATTTGTATTATAAATGGAGATGAACATGAAAAACAAATTAATGAAATTTGTGATGGAAAAATTGTTTATATATGTTTATTAAATCGTTTAAATGATCTTTTAGAACAACAATTAATAAATATTCATCATGTTACATTTATTGTACTTGATGATATTGATAAAATGATTGATTTAGGTTTAGAAACACAAATTAGAAAATTTCTTGATAATTTTAAAACGATCAAGTAAGTAATACATAATAAATAGATTTATTTTTGAAATTTGAGTAAAATTGAGATAAATGAGAAATCTGTATGTATGTATTTAATTTAAATAATAGTTAAGATTTTGAATTTTTTTATGTAATAAAATTATTGATGAGGGAATATTCTCAATTACCTAGTTTGAGACTATTTCTAGTCAATTGATGCTGATCAGAAGTAAAACAATTCTATTTTAATTTTAATTTTCATTCATCGCTGGTCGAGTTATGAATGTTATGCGCTATAAGCATAGAATCGGTAAGATTCTGACTGATGGAATTTTAAATTGATATATCTTTCATCGAGAGGTCTTATAGTCACCAGAAACACTTAGAACAAATGCTTCATTAGCATGATATTTACATTTGAAAGAAACGTTTTTATGACAAGCTTATATCTCAATATAGATATGTTTACTATTCAGTATTATTGATGGAATGGCAAAACTTTCAAGCCAAAACCAATTAGACATTTGAGAACATTTGTTCGTAATCTATAGTCTTTGACAGATGTAGTTGTCACTCATGAAGTACTATATTTTTTTTACGATATTAAATTAATATTTTGGATGCATGCGTGCGATGAGAAATCCTGATCAACTTGCTCTCGATCAGTTCATGTGTATTAAAGTTTTTGTGTTGTGATCACCTTATGTCAGTCATATTTGCTCAATGTCTATAGAAAAACAAATGCTAGGTTTAGATAAATTGGATCTTTCCATGGGACGATGGATTTATTCGAATATTTCCAGAATCGCCTCATTGAATGAACTCGAATTAAGGTTGTAATATAAGTTCCCTATTTTAGATTCTGCTAATTATTATGACCATGAGTATGTGTTGCAAACTTTAGTGATAATACAATAGATATATTTTCAAGTCAAAATTTAGTAAGTTTCTGATCGGAAGTGACCTGTATTTCTTGCCTTAGACGGGATTGCTTTTAGTGCTAGAAAAAGAAAAATTTGTTAAATGTATATTTCTCCCGGGTATGTTTTTTTTTCACAAAGGAAAAGAAGATGTGTGAATTATAACTCCAATACATATGAATCGATCGAGAGTTAATTAGTGCTTGTGATTAAAGTTTTTTTTGTCATATGCAATAACACCTAAAGTATCATTACATCATGAATGAAAATTAGTTTTGTGTAGGACAATAAAATTTGTACTATCAATAATAATTTAATTTAAATTTTTTTTGTAGTACCGATGAAAAACAACATCAAGTTCAAATGTCTATATTTTCTGCTACAACACAAAAATCTATTAAATCTTTAGCTGATAATTATTTAACAAATTATGTTCATGCTAGTGTTGGTTATTTATCTGAACCTCATCCTTTTACATATTTTAATGTTCAACAAATAGTTGATTTTTGTCCAACAGAACAATATAAAAAACAAAATCTTTTTCGAGTTCTTGATGATGTTTGTGCTTATGCACCATTAAGAAAAACTATTATATTTGTTCGTACACGTGATAAAGTTAATCGTTTAAATAAAGATCTTGAAGAAAATGGATATAAAGCATTACTTTTACATGGTTCAATAAATCAACAAACGCGAAATGAAATTCTTAAAGGTGATTTATTTCAAAAATTATGTTAAAAAAAAACAAAGAAAAGATTTGTTTTTTTTTCTTGTCTCATTTTATAGAATTTCGTGAAAATTCAAATGTACTTTTACTTACAACTGATGTTGCTTCAAGAAGTTTCGGTAAATTTGTTTGTTTGTCTTTCTATATTACAATCAAAAGATAAATTTTTTTTTTTTTAATAATCTTATTTAATTTTAATAGATGTTGATGATGTACGATTTGTAATTAATTATGATTATCCAACATCAGATGCTGTTTATAAACATAGAATTACACGAATAGCTAATTGTAGTATAGCATTTACATTTTTTTCAAATGAAGATGCTAAACATGCACCAGCACTTATTCATATTTTGGATGATGCTGGTGCTATGGTACATCCAATTATACTTCAACTTGGACGAAAACATGGTTTTAA